GCGTACTTCTTCTTCTGTGCCTGCCGAATTGTTCATCCATCGTCGAGCTCCTGCATCATGACTCGGACATCGGCCTCCTCTTTCTGAAATTCGACAATGAGCTTGTAGAGAGAGGGATGGCTCTTGCCGACGACCGTCTGGAAGCGACTATGCCAGGCCTCCGCGGCGTTATTCGTCCGCGGCTCATTTTCACGAGCCGCACGATACTGGTTCCACCACACGGGTGGGTAACGTGGGGGCGCTCCGCGTCGATTTCCCCTTCCTCTTCGGCCGACGACGTACGTGCGCTTGAAGTAATCGCCGAAGTCGATCATGCGGTCCGGCAGGTTGTTGAGGACCTCCTCACAAGCTTCAGGTACGTCGTCCACCGGCACGAAGGCGAGGCCGACGACTTCCTTGAAAGCGTTGCGTATGGATTCATCCTCCGGGTCCCGATACGCAGTCTGCAGGCCTTCCCCTTGCAGGTGTTCCCAGGCTGCTTGCCTGAGGTGGAACAAACACAGCCGTATCTCCGCACTGAGGAAGGCTTGTTTACAGGCGTTAACAATGCCAAGCTCCAGGTCGAAAATGACGGTGGCAGGATTTGGGGTAGCAATACGCATGTCTCGGCACTTGTTAACCACATAGCTTGTATTACAGCATTGTACGACACTTCAGTCTTGTCTGGCAGCAGTGCAAATACAAACGGAGAAGTTTCACCCCCATACTCCCCGTGCATCGTGAAAATCTGTGTAAATATTTCTGGTGCCGTTTCGAAAGTACCGTCTAAATGGAAAACAACAGATTGTGTGAGTCTCTTCTGGCCTATTTTAGTTCCAAATACTTAGATGCGTTTTTCAGAAGGTTCATCGCCTTCTTCTGCATCGTCCCAGGAATCATATATGAGGAATTTACGACCGTCGAGTGTCTTCTTGTACTTGTCTGGGATTTCTCCGATTTCACTTATTTTCTTAGGGTTCTTGGGGAAGTTTCGGCTACGTCGTTTGTTGAATGTTCGCTACATTGACTCTCGTAGGGGAAGGTGGGGGAGTACTGCTGACGGTATCTGAACTAAACGTACCGTAAGTAATGATGCTTCTACCTAACAACATTAATATTATTTGCGTACGGGAGGGTAATACACACCTGGTGTAACTCCTGCTGCAAGATTTGGGCTGGAGGTGCCTTTGGATGGTCTTCTGCACGCCTCTTGATCCGGTCATACTGCTCGATGGCCTCGCCTTCCTCGGGGCTGGGCATGTGGCTGGGATGAGAAGCTGAGCTCTTGAAGACCTCGACGGTGTTGGAGCCGGCTACGGAACGGGACGGTCATTGTGTTAAACGTACGTAGGCCTTTATTCGGGTGCAGACCTGTCCACCGTCCACTCACCTCTTGGTGCCTCCGCCTCCGTGATCGCTCGCTGCTTACATTGTGGCTTTCGGCGGCACACCCAGTATCTTCTTGTACCGGTCTTGTTTTCCGAATGATTGCTGTACAGATAACCATTGTGGGATAGTATGTATCCCCCTCTTTCACTTGGGAGCAATTTTCCTAAATTTTGCTCCATGGCCTAAACTTTTCCGACAATGTTCTGTAGAGTCTCTCTTATTATATCACGGGCAACGCTTTTCGATTGTTGTGGAATTGAAATACCCCCTGCACCCTGGGCCCAGACAATACTCCGGAACTCAAGCAATACTCCTCGACTTTCGATTATTTGGGCGAATTTTTTCGGCTTGGGTGAGAGAGGGCGAGGTGGTAATCTGGGTGAACGGACCTTGGGTGAATAATAGAGGGTGACTGGGCCCTGGATCAGTGGACTTTGGGTCAGTTGGGTGTTGGGTGAAAGACGTCTGGGTGAGTGGGCCGGACCCCAATATTTCGAGTTTAGATGCGTCGTGTGATGCTTTTGCCCCCTGTACATTGAGGATAAATCAATCACGTGCTGTAGAAAATCCCTCATATGTGTGAGGTCTCTCAGAAAACAGAAACATCCAAGAAATTGTAGTTTTGCTATCTATCCCGTAATGGTCATGCCCCCCAGGAGTATTAGGGGAGGGGGGGACCCAACTGCCACGTGACGGATATGCCCCCTAGGGTATGGGGGGCACATCCATCACGGGATAGTCATACCCCCTAAGGTATGGGGGGCAAATCCATCACGTGATAGTCATGCCCCCTGAGGTATGGGGGGCAAATCCATCACGTGATAGTCATGCCCCCCTGGGGTATGGGGAGGCACATCCATCACGTGATAGTCATGTCCCCCTGGGGTATGGGGAGGCACATCCATCACGTGATGGTTATACCCCCCTCTTGGTGGGGGGCACAATTATCACGTGATGGTTATGCCCCCCCAGAGGGAGGGGGCAAAACTATTACGTGATGGTTATGCCCCCCTTCAGGGGGCACAATTATCACGTGATGGATGTGCCCCCTTATTGGGGGGCATGATCATCACGTGATGGTTATGCCCCCTCTAAAGGGGGGCATAACTATCACGTGATGGTTATGCCCCCTCCCTCTGGGGGGCATATCCATCACGTGATAATTGTGCCCCCTGAAGGGGGGGACAAGACCATCACGTGATGGTTGTGCCCCCGGGGGCATGTCCACCATAGGGTATGTTGGTCACGCCACACC